CTTAAATGGCAAACACCCTATTTTAACCACAAATGTTTAAATACCGCAAAATGCACGAAATTTTCAGTTTTTTTCGCTGTAACTCTGAAAATAATTATTGTTCTTTGATTTTTTAGGCGTAACATTAATTTGACGAGATAAACATTATTATACATTTTCACTTTCATTTGTGTATGAATAGCTTGAAGCAGAAAAAACGTAAATAAGTACCTATGTTGTTTTTTTACATTAAATGAATCTATTGGAATTACCTAAATAATTACCTATGCTATTTTAAATTGGGATATACATCTAAGCTAATACTTATGTTAGAATTACTAATGCTCATATTTTATCAGGCATTATAAAATTAACTATTTTTTATATACCTTTAATTAAAAATGTTAATCCTAAAAAATCTTAAAATAATTATGTTCGGAGTTAAGAAGTTAAGTTAAGAAAAAAACAGAAAATTTTAAAAAAACAATTTTAGGCTTAGGAATTTGGTTAAACTACCTAATAGCATAAAAAAAATTAGGCAAAAAAAATTTGTGGTTGAAATAGGTGTTTGAATTTTAAGTTTACAAAATTCTAAGGCCCTAAAATAGATTATTTTTATGTCCTAAAAACCAGCTAGAAAGCAGAATTCAAATTGCAGGGCTCTACGCAAAGATTTAGACTGTTCTAAATTAGTGTTAACTCACTGTATAAATTTGTTTATATCAAATAGCAACATTATATGTCAATGAACAAAGTAATTTATATTATATTGATATATTGTTTTCTCTAAATTACTAAGAATTTGTCCTGTTGCCAGTCCTCACATTATTTCTTCATACCCAGCTACCCTATAAGAACAAAGTTTTAAAAATGTTCTTAAGTTCATTAAACCTTACCAAAGTCTACGACTTGCAGATTTAATGCGCTAGTCGTTGGCGACATATTTTGGGTGTTTAGCTTGTAAAATGACTAAGCCATTGTCTGTTTGGTACAGCTTTATTGAATAATTGTCAGTTTTCTTCTCCATTAGAACGTAACCTAATATATACTCTAAAACATAAAAAAGTAACAAAATTTGTTGTTAAATGCGATTTGAATTTGAATTTATATTATATATAAAGCAAAAACAGCAAAGTTAAAACTTAACTTAAATAAATATTCCATCCACTAAAAAAATGTATTTGTTCATCTATAAATCATCTATAAATTAACCCATCTGCAAAAGAAAATGTAATCAAATTTTCATGTAAAATTGGTATCAATTTACATACTAATTTTTTTAGATGTTAAATGACCATTTTATTAAAAGGTTAAATTTATATTATAAAAAGTAAGTACAATATTTTTCTTCTCTTCACATTACTTATATATGCTCACTTATTTTTTTGCATAAATTACTTTTTATACAAACAAATACATTCATTTTATCTCCTTTTTCAATAATAAATAAAATATGCACCAATCCCAAGTATAAAGTTTAATTAAAACAGTATTTTTTATTCATATTTAAAATATCAGTATAAAAACAAAAGTATTTTATATATTTTGTGTGCTTGATCAAAAAGAGTTAAGTCAGATTTTTCCAAAAATGAGATTTTGACTCATTTCGATTTTACATAATTGTATGGTTTTTTTTGGTCCAGACGGTTAAGTCATACATCAATTATATTTTAATCTTAAAAAATTGTATAGTTTATATTGTGGGAGTCTTACAAATCATGTATTAAGAAAACTGTATGATGATAAATTTCACAAGTTAAAATTATCATTTAAGGAATGGAAGAATGATATATGTCATAAATGTGATGTATTATTTCTAAACGTTTATTTTTTATGATTTATTTTGAATATTCCAATCATTAAATTAATAATTGATTCAACTCCAATAAAAAAATGAACAAAATTGGATTTACACAAGACTTATGAATGTATAGATATACCTCCTGAAAACTTGATAATTTTGACTTACAAGTTTTGCCTTTTGACCAATCACCGAATAATATACTATGTTTAAAATAGCCAACTATACCAGCAGAATAAGTAATATTTGTATACTAATATATGTGGAATGTATAAGTATATAACTTACATAATTATCTACCATTACATGGATGATCAAAAGCTGATAACATTTTGGTGCCGATGGAATCACTTTAAATTTATCTAAGAACAAAAGAAGATAATATTTAAGTTCCTATTCCTAAAAATAACGAATCAATTCACGTTCTTATTTCTTTAAAAAATAATGAAATTAATATGATAAATATGAAATTATAATGAAATCAATTACAAGAATCGTCCCTTAACAACACCGATCATCACATAGCATAATATTACATTCAATTATTGTTTATTCTTTGAAGCATAATTAGAGCTCTAATTTTAATAATCTAAAAAATGGATCTAGTTCAAACGTCGTTTTCCTGGATCCGCGTCAGGAGGACATCCAGGTCTTTAGGTTCTGCACGTCCATTGTGTAAGTCCGTTAGTACCTTGAGTGTGTGAGAGGCTGCCTATAGTTCACCCAGTTCGGTATTTCTCTCCACTTCTGCCAGCTGCCAACCATAACCAAACTTCAGCTGTTAAAGATAAATTGGTCTATTTCATGTGAACTCTGTGGTCATTGCACCATACCAATTTGACCCCAGAGGCCCCTCCCCTATTAACTGACTTTTCCTATATCCTATGTATTTCGCCTCCCATCCTCGTCGTAATATTGTTGTAGTGCATATTAGATTGCCTATCTTTCATACTTTTACGGCGTAGCCAGTTTTGTTGCCACTTTAATTATTAAGACACCAACAACAATATTGTTCTCTAGCATTACAGTTGGGTCCTTTGGGTTACAATGGCCTAGTTCTACCTCGTTTCTGTAATACTATGAAAAAAAAGACTTTTATGAATCTTTAACTATAGTTTGAATGTTTTCGATAATTTTATGAATTTTCTCAAATTTTAACTTAAAATGCATTTCAATTAATTCATCCATGGAAATTGCTAAAATAAATATATTTTGGAAGTTTCATGTGCCAAAAATTATTAGTTTTTGTTTTACAAGAAATCAATGAAAACGAGTTTTTCAAAAGTTGAAAAAAAAAATTTTTATTTTTTTTATTTAAAGAATAAGGCTTCAACAGCTAAGGTTATTAGCCTGACAATGGTTTACATATATGTTTCAAAATTATTTATTTCATTTATGGTGTAATTATTTGTTATTTACAGAATTTACAATTTTTTGATAATATTGGTAATATTTAGAAATTCTATGGTTTTTGATGTGTTGTGTTCTTCAAGCGCTTCAGCAACGTTAAGTGGCATGTTCAGGTCGGTGCGTGATGAGGTGTACAGTGTGAATTCCTCCAATATATGTTTGCGAGAAAACAGAAAATGTCCGAAAAAAAGCTCAAAAAGAGTCAAAATATTTTCAAAACTGTATGGTGTATAGGAAATGCTAATACATATAAACATTCAGTGAAGTTTTAATGTATCTACAGTTATTCGTTTTTGAAGTACAACAAAATAAGGAAATTGCTACATGAGAAATCGAGTGAATATCCAATGTTGTAAAAATTTAATTTGACATTCTTAGACATTTTTTTTTTTTTTGATGAAGGTAGATAATCTTATAAGAAATTTCGTATTACATTTGAAAATCTTTGATTTAAAAAGAAAAATTTTTAGGAATTCTTAACTCAAAATAATTTGCTAAATTTCGTGATTTTTCCATATTTTGTCAATTTTTGAACTTTAAATGCTTATAAAAAAAACTGCGACTAAGGATTTTAATATTTTTCAATCTGCCTTTGAAACAATATACTAGGAGCCTTCTATTAAATTTTCAAGCTTTTTTAACCAACAAATACAATTTTATTGATTTTTTAGAAAAAAAACTAAAAAAAATGGAATATGAAAATGTTAATAAACAGTTCAAAACAAATCATAATATTTCAAAAATGGAAATATAATTAACTAGTGAAAATTTCATGTATATACATTCATTTGTTTTAGAGTTACACCAGAAACCAAAATCGATTTTGTGGAAAACCGACTTTGCGTAAAATTCCCGTTTTCCCTTAATTTTAAAGAAAATCGAAACAGTTTTACTACCCTAAACCTTGATGACAGACACAAAGAAAGAAAAAAGGAAAAAAAACACACATCATTGTAAAATCAATACATTCATCGTTTCACTCAGAATCTAAAATTTAAGAATACAATACCATAATAAGTACATAATAATAATAAATTATACTATATTATAGTCATCTATCATTGAAATTTGTAGGTTGTGCGTATTAGTGTTCTGTTAGTGTTTTAAAGTTGCCAAGCTAAATTAAGTTATTTATCAGACTATTTTAACATGAATGATAGCTATAGTTCAAAGACTTTGCTATAAAATGATATCATAACTTTTAGAGCAGTTTTTTTTTTATTTGGTGTTTTTTTACACGGATTTTGGCAGAGTGTTTGTGTGGTTATTACTAATTATAATATAACTAAATATTATGGTGTTTCTTTGAAAACATTCTGAAAAATAATTAAATTCTATTTTTAAAGAATAAAATTATTAAAGTTTATTTTAACTATAATCATTATTAGTATGCATATATTACTGGCAGTTTAGACTATAAAGAAAGTATACATTACTCTTAATTTATTAGGTCCAAAAAAGGAACCGTTTCACACTCACAAGTTGTATTGAGCCATTGAAGTTTTAATAAATATTAAAAAGTAGTTTTTATAAATACATATACTTATTTATAATGTATACATGTACAATGCACATAGAGTAATTTATAAGAATTATTGAGAACATAGAAAAATGTATTTTGTGTTGGACAGGTCGTTGGGAATTTAGGATGGCCCAGACAGTGTTGGAAAGACAGGATCACCAAAGATGCATAATATGACCCTACATATGATTTTATACAAATTAATAAAATTAATGAGACATCACTATTGTATTTTTACTGCCATTTATTATACAATAATTTATATTACACTACACGTCAGCTTGTTCTCTAATTCGATACATTCAATTTTTTATAGAAATTCAGTATAGAATTAATTGTTTGCCATATAAACGGGTGTTCATTCATTTGTATCAATGTTGTTATTCCAGATATAAGTAATATTAGTATCTGTAAAAAAATTCATACATTTTAAATTGTATAGGCTGGTACTATGTATTTTTTTAGTAGATTAAAAACTGCAAATCTAGAATCTATATCATTTAGTAATATAGAGGGCCTCTATCCTGGCCTAGTCCATCTGAAAATTGAAAAGTAAATGATTTATATTTTACAGGATACCTACATATTAAACAAAAAAAAAAATTGCGATATTGTGGTACGACGGGTACTTTTCGTAGTTATAAAAATTGGACATTTTATACATTATTAACCATCGTTTAAAAATGTTCGTTATTCCAACGTATTTTATAAAAATTTGAACTTTAAATGCTTATAATTTATAATTTATATCAATTGCTTATAAATATGAATATTCAATATTTTTAAATAGCTATAATAGGTACCTAACAACTTATAATAATATGTTAACCATCTCCATTATTAATCGTTTACATTTTCACCATGTTAAAACTGTATTTTCAAAATTAATTATGAATTTTTGACTTAAAGCATATTACAATAGATTTAAAATATGGTACCAAATATTTTACAATATTGTTTTCTATAAAAGTAATTGTGGGTACTTTCCTACTGTAAAATAGAAACCAGTTGCTCATCAACCGGTTGTATAGAACAATATTGGCGATCTAGGACAAATGAGAGGACAATTTCAACACCAAAGATAATAATATTTTTAGAAAGATAAATTATACATCTTAGGTACTTAAGTCCCATTATATTACACAGATATTGATTACCTATCTCTTTCCAACAACGTTGGCACATAGCATCCTATAGTATTTTATAGGTTGGGGGGGGGCGCACAGTCTATATATTATTTAGTCTATGGTAGGTAGGTTCCTACATGAGCTTGGAGATAATATAGTCTGTTTATTAGTTTTACCTTAAAGTTTTTTTTCTATAAGAATATGCAACAGGTATCTTAGGTATAAGTTTTATTTTAAAATTACCTAATTAACTAAATTTTGTTTTATTGAATATGACTACATAATTAATAATTATTATACAATTATACATACTTACTGATATAACTAGATTCAAATTAATACTGAAAATTCCATAGGCGGTTATTTCAGTTGATTCAAAAATTGATACTTGATTCATAAACATTTTAATCTAATTCAAAAATAACAATGTTAGAATAGCTGAGCTCTTTTAATTGAAACGCAGATAATTGATTGCATTGGACGACAAAGGTTTAATTTAATATCTAAGTAGGCATTCAGTGTTATTTTTAATATGAAAAGTGGCTAGATAGCAACATGATAGATACTGAGAATCTATGTAATACATTATAAGCTTTCAAACTTAAATTGTATCTAATTATATATATTTAAGCGGGCATATTCAAAAAAATTTTAACTATATTAATTTAATAACCTGGATTTTTAAAGGAATCGATAAATTTGAAATCCTGGTTAACCGTAGATAAGATATTATTTGTCGTTTCTGAAAATATAAAGGTACAAACACAGTATAATGCATGTATAATACAATTAAAACACTACACTATTTAGGTTTTCTCTATAGTCAATAGTACACCATCAGGTTTTGGATTGCAGAGCTAGGCGGCTTCACCTTGGTCCAAGACTATAGTGTGTGTGGAATTGATAAATTGGTGAGGAAAAATATGATATAGTAAACTTTACACTTTACAACCTATACCATTGGGAAAACCCAAGCCCGGTGTGCAAAAACCCACAATCCAAACCCGATAGTGTATGGGTAACTGTAACCAAGGGTGCACCCATGGAGGGCTAACGGACTTAAACCTCCCTAAATAATTGGTCCCCTAAGATTATGGTAATTTTTATTATTTATTGACTTTTTGTTGAATATTAATACCTATAAAGTACAATCTTCAATTTTGAATTATCATATGAGACTTATTATTCAAATACCTTTTTGAATAGCTTATGTCCAGTTATGGATACTGAGGAAATATACAATTTTTAACAGGATGTCAAAGGTATGTTGCTTTTTACTCTCAGACTCAAGTGCATTCATGTGAGTAATTTTTTTTTTTATAATTTTTTAAGTAATCTAAGACTAAAATCGACTAGGTATACAAAAATTATAGAAGATAATATTTATGAAGGTTTTAAATTTCACTTTATATCAGACTTCAAAAATAAAAATAAATCTTCGTTAATTCAATAGGTATAAAATTATTTTAAGATAATATACTTTAGAAAAATCGATATATCTTACCTTCAAAACAATTAATCTCTATAATTTTTTTAATGCATGCAAAAAAACAATAATACGTTACTGCATTTTGAAATTTCTATGTTGCTCGTGGGCTCGTGAGAGAAAAAAACAGTACATTTTCTTAAGTAGACATACTCTTAAGTAGAATCGTGTGATAATATTCATAGTTTCATTATAATACCTCTTTAGTCTGTCTTTATATAATTTTTAGACAAATACTCAATATTTATAAAACGACAAAAATCAACTTAATTATAATTAAAATTAAATAAAAAATATTTTTTAAACCATTTAAATAAAAAATACCTAGTATAAATTGTATATGGAGCGAAGTTGTTAGAAAACGAGATATAATAGGGTATAATTGTTTATAGAAATTTAATAATTTTTACTTTGTTACTTATTACCTACCCACAATATTTTAGATTTTGAGCGGTGCAAGGAATGTATACTGGTTAAACATTGATAACTTTTTTTTATATTTATATTGGGTCTCTTATCAAATATTGGAGCAAAAAGAAATTTCCTCAATCTTCAACTTTGAGAATGATGTTTAGTAACAAATTTGATTAAGTAGCTTTGAAGAATGCCAAAAATAAGAAGGTAACTCATTTTCTGAATAACTTAGAAAACAAAAAAAGGGCATGAAAACGGAACATCTATGCAGTTAAATTAAATTAAATTATATTGTTTTTTTTTTTTTTTTGGTATACGTATACCTAATTCAAAAATCAATGCATAACATATCTTAACAATTTTAATTTTTCACTATCAACATTTAACGAACACTATAACTTTCTGTGCGAAATTTTCAAAATATTTGGACACATTTTAAGGTACCAATACCTTGAATATAATGAAGCTATTTGCTATTATTTTATTTATTATCATAAGAGTCAATATATACATGACTTAGAAGTCAATAACAATAAGTCAGAGATTTAAGTGATTGAACTATATGTTTCAAAGAAAAATTCACGTCTATTATAATTTATATATATTAAATAATTAAATTTAAAAATATTATATTATTTAATTAAATATTTAATAGGTAAGTCAATATACGAACGTGCTAACTGTCAAACTATGGTGTTAATAGATTGGAGAAAACGATGGAACTATAACCTAGCATTCTTATTCATTGTAGAATATCAAAAAAAAAAAAAATACCAAATTTGAAATCTTTCCGCTTTTGTATGGAACGTATGGACATTTTGAACATCGAATTGGCTACCCCAGACACCACACACAAACTGGAAAATTGTAAATCTTAGAGTTTTTGTTGATAATAAAAGTGACCTCAGACATATAAAAACCCACAGCATTGTGAAACAATTAAATTCATCTCTTAAAATTAAAAATAAATAAGCATATTAATTAATCAAATGATGTTGATATTGAAATATTGATTAGATGCACAGTTGCACCGAGTTAAAAATAATCAAATAACAGTTGTAAATCTAAATAGTGTAATGCGAATCAAGCGTAATTCATAATAGGTAATCCAAATTATAGATATTATAAATAAGATTAATAATTCAAATATTAATGTTGTTTTTACCTTATCGTGTACTCGTGCGGCCGCAGTAATGATGGACATTGTACAAATTATATTTTGTAAATTATAGACAAATGGCGCAGTTTTTTTCAGGATCATATTCATATCATTATTTTCTGAAGATGTTGGATATTTAAAGTAAAATGTAAAAAAGAAAAAAACCAACATATTAATGTAGCTGAATACAAAGTAACCCAAGAGCATTTGTCCGTAACCCAAACTGAATACTCTTAATATGTCAGACAGTTGAGCGTGTAACAATCGTATGTGGTCCACCATCATCGCTATATCATAATGTGAACATTCACCGGGAACAGCCAACAGCCCAGCTGGAAGAAATTTCCAGATATCGTTCAATATTTCGAATCTATACTGCAAGTTGTGTAAGTAAAAGTATGAAGAAACAATTACTGTAAAGTCCACGATGAAAGATATACGAACAAAATATATGAAAATAACATTGATATCCATTCTTTTTATAGGATATAAATACATTAACAATAACGTTATTACTGTGTAATACAAAAACGCACAAATAAAGATTATATTCAAACATTTTTTATCATACTGACGACGGTAAGTTTGTAAGTACGTTGGGAGAGATGTTAGGTTTTGATCGAATTCGATGATGCCATTAATCAACCTAAAAAAAAACAAAATACCTAATATGCATCAAAATGTATCAATAAAAGTTTATCTGAACACGATTTTTACATGAGAAAGAATACAACTTTGGGGCACAGCCATTATACCTATTGTAATATAATATAATACCCGACAAATAAACTGAAATAACAAATTAAAAAAAGCAGGTAAGTGGATGTCGTTCTGCTGTACAGTAGGTTACATGTGGGTCACTGTATAATGGATTGCACTAAATTTGAATTCAATGATAACATATCATTGTATAAGAAAAACGATTCTGAGAGGAGATGGTTTGTCTGGATATTTTATATTGTTATTATTTATTGTAGCCTGTAAGTTGAATTAATATTAAATATAATAATAATATTATAATTTTTTTTCGTTTCTATGGTGATAAACAAAGCGTTAGAAATTAAAATCACGTTTTTTGTAATTTTTCGGTGGTTTTTCGCGTGGCAATAAATAACTGTTAAGAAAATTGAAAAATGACCTCTTGAAAGTAAAATTTTGATCCAATTTGTTAAAAAGATAAGATATTTACTATATTATGTTGAAATCGAATCACTCCTTCTGGTAGAAATTTTGTATACAGGATAAAAAAAGAAAAAACCATTGTAAAACCACTAGATCCCTTCACTCCGCTCAGAATCTAAAATTTCAAAATTCAAGTAATATGTACCTAAGTCCTAATAATAGTAAAAATCACTGGACTTAATATTTGTCAGTACCTACCTAAAATATGATGAGTTTATTATAATTACATAAATGTTGAGATTTTATATTAGCTATTTACAAATCAAATTAATTTCTACATAATAAGAATTTTAAATGTTTATCATACTTAATGATCCAGGTTTCTGATATTCTAGATGTAATAATGGCGGTCCAAAATTTATATAAAATCAATGAATCGAGAAAACTTAATTTTTTAAGATTATAGTAAGTAAATATTAACATTATAACTGTTTTTGAAAATTCAAAAAGTAAGCGACACTTAGAGTTTGTATTTTTGACCAATAAGCCATTCGATTCAAAATAATACGATGTGTTGATTATGCCTACAATCTTACATAGCATTAAAATTGGCCTTAAGGTTACTATAAAAGCATTCATCGTATTTATAGTTGGTTTGTTTGAGTACTAAGAAATATTAACATTTTCCATATTATTATTTCACCAATATTATTGACTCAATGACAAAAAAAATAAAAACAAAAGGTTTATTAGAAATTAGTATTTATTTAATTAAATTATTATGTCAGATGGATGGTTAACCATAACAAATAAAAGATATTATTATTTTATTGATCGATTTTACTCTAGTTATAACTTATAATAAATAATAATACAGTGTCTTAAGAAAGGTTAAATTTAATGAATATATAGTTAGCTGCTTGACAACTAAATGCAACACTCTGCTCTATAATTTTCTTCTATAATGAAAATCTATGAATTATAAATATGTTTTTGTGAATAAGTAACCACCATCACGATAACCTTACAAAATTTGACCTTGTAGTCATAAATCAAAAACCTTGGGTAAAGTGCAAAAAAATATTTATGTTAGAAATAAATATAAGCAATATTTAACGTAGGTACCTAGGTAACTCAGCTGTACCCACAGTAGGTGTAATTTCTTCTCATAATTTCGTAAGTCACTGTAATATTTTATGCATGTTAAATTTTAATTTCAAAAAACGATTCTAAGTAACTGAGGCGAGGTCTGTAATTCTATAGGTATAGCGTGTTTCCTTTAAACACGAAAAATTTCAGTCCTCTGATCTTGAATATTGATATGAGGTTTTAGGGAGAAAATAAGGAATACAGATATACACATTACTTGAAGGTTTTAAATATTTTAGTTCTTGGAATAGACCGATTTTCTTCAAACAATTTTGACCTCTTAAACACGGCTTTAAAATTAATACAACGAGTTAATGTTTTAGTTTAAATCATTGAATATTTCAACGATAATCTACGCATTTCTTTTCAGTCAATGACTACTCGTTGTCATTGCTTATTTTGTCAATTTTGGTCTTCGACCCATGTTTAAGAGGTCAAAATGAAATAAAAAAATTCGGTTTTAAAATAACTTTGGTGTCTATCGAAAACCACTGTTGCTATTAAAATACAAGTTCGGATACCTCACTCTGCGAGAGTGGTAAGTTCCCGGTTTCTATTTTCCAAACGTATAGGTATTATTAATTCCAACAAAAACCCTCCACCAAACTCCTTGTAAAACATACGCGAAGTATAAAAAAAAAGTGCTTTAAAAGTTGTGGTATAATTTTATAGATAAGTCTTTGAACTATATAGATATCATATATTATGTTAAAATAGTTTGGTAAATAATTTAACTTAGCTTGACGACTTTAAACACTTGATTAGTGACTGTAGTGTATCAAGCCTTAATGAAAAAATGTATCAATATAGTATTATAATAATACATCTAAATAAAGATGTTTATGCACAGCGCTTTCCATTACCATACATACGTAACATGATACCGCACAAAATGCATAACCCAATAAAACACAAATTTATAAAAAATATCTAGCTTAATTCCACACACAAAAATAGTACCTATACAATACGGCATACAGTTGTTAAAACCAATAAAAATTAAAGCACAATTAATATAATATATAGAAATTAATTGTTCAAATTCCATAAAATCAAAATAGGTACACAATTCAAATAGAAAAGTTTAAAATTTGTCTGATACATCAAAATAATTAAAAATAGCATCTATATCAGTGGCGCAACAAAGGGGGGATCCCCGGGTCCGGACCCCCTCCTTGGAATAACTATATAAGATAATTTTTTTATTTATTTAATTTAGAATAATAGAATTCTACACAAACTATTATTAGCAACAAAAATACAAAATTCTTTTCGTACATTATGTAAATCGGTATATTTTATAGAACATGGTGGACATATTATATATATGGTGGGCTGTGCCAGATCTAAAACAGCATATGAAAAAATTAAAAAAAAACATTTATTGACATCATCAGCTGCATTGTACATACCTGCATTTAATTTGTATTATATTATATTTAGTTGGGTTTAGGGTAATTTATATAAAAATATAGATATTAATAAATTAATTAAGTAGGTATAAAATTAAAATTGAATTTTCGTACCAGATACTACTGGCGACTAATATAATAGTACTACTTAGTACCTATGCATGTACAAATAATTTATTATTTTGTTTTTTTTTTTTTTTAAGTGTCTCGTATTTTTATTTTATTTCTCTGGCCACTATAGCTGCTCTAAATATTCATTTTGACGTCAGTAGGTATAACATCTGAATTATAAATACGTTACCTAGCTAATTCAAAACGTCGTTTAGATTTTATATTATGAATTATTTTAATTTTTTTTTGTAATTACAAAAATAGTAATATAAGTGTAATATGTATTTTCTCAAATTTTAAAATATTATTTAACATTGATTTATATTTTCATGAAAAATGTAATGCACGTATATAGGTTATAGGCACCTATATCCGATGTTATCTTAGTCCGTGGTTAAAATGTCTATAATATGTTCTAACATGTATGGACCCTCCCATTGAAAAAGTTCTGGTTGCACTACTGACCTATACAGGGTGTAACAGAAAGATATGACAGATTTACATGTAAATCTTACACAAATCTATCATATCTTTCTGTTACACCCTGTATAGTAGACGTACCTGCAAAAACGGGTGACCATCACGTCACGTCCCCTGGGAGAAAATTCCGAGTCATGATTTTTTTTGCAATATGAAAAATATACGACTAAATTTGTGTGCAGTAATGTGATATCCAGTAGGTCTTTTAAAATCTGAGTACGGATTTGTCCTATAAGTATTTTACACATTGTTGCGGTAATGGGCGACGCCCTTTATGCATGATAAACATGGTTCATGTATACAATTTTAAATTAAATATTCTTATAGTATAAAGTCTAGCAGTCTTTTTTTCTTTTTCGAGTCGATCGAACACATTATCTGGATTGAAGAGTTAGTAAACCAATGAGAAATGTAAGACGTACTTGGCCTAATAAATTTCGTGAATAGTTTCTTAAGTTTATAAAATATAGTATAATTCAATTTGCAATGATCCTATAACTCGATCATTTTTGTAACGTATTAACTCCGGTATTAACAAATTATAAATTACATAAAAAGAAAATATAAATTATAACTATATATTAACTAGGAATACTATTTATAACTTTTTTCAACTGAAATTATAAAAATTAAATTAACTTTGAAAGTTTTTATATTTTATTTAATCATTTTTTTTAATGGTGCAATTATTGTATGACTTTTTTCCAATTTTATACCGATGCTATTATTGATATTATACAGGTAGTTTCTCAAATTCGGTGCAAAGACAAATAACAGTTTTCACAAGTATGGACATTTTGGAACATCGAATTGGCGGCTACCAGGTACCACTCATAAAGTTGTAAATCTGATCGGTGACGTCAGACAAAAAAACACACCACTCAACATTAAAAAAAAAAAAATTAAACCTAGGAAATCAATAGAGAAATGTATTTTGAACTATATTATATACAATAGGTAATAGTAAAATTAAATGTAGGTACCTAACGATGGCGGAATTTAACATTTGCAAATCTAAAATATGGTGTTATGAGAATTAAATGTAATTCATAATAAACAAATAATGATGACTAATTAGAAGGTATGATTAAAAAAACAAATCGTATTGGATTTACCTTATCATTCACTCGAGAAGCAGTGAACATAATAAAAATTATATTTTGTAAATTAAATACAATTATGGAGCAGTTTCTTTCAGGATTTTATCCATTTTAATATCTTCTGGATATGGTGAATAGGTATTTAAAGCAAATAATGCAAATAAGAAAAACGATTCTGAACGGTGACGGTTTGTCATTATGGATATCTTATATTGTTATTAGTTATTATATCATGTAAGTTGAATTAATATTATAATATTGTTATGTTTTATTCATTACTATGGTGATATACAAACCGTTATACATAAAAATCCAATTCTAAATCCATTTTTAGCGGTTTTTCTTAATTTTTTGGTGGATTTTCCCGTGGCATTAAATAACTATTGATAAAATCGAAAAATACCTCTCTAAAGTACAATCTTGATGCAATTTTAAAAGATAAGGTACTATATGTTGAAATCGAATAAACACCATTGTAAAACCACTAGCTTCATCGCTCCGCTCAGAATCTAAAAATTATGTATTTATTATTTAATCTATTATCAATATAATTACCTACTACCTATTATATTATTTATAAAAACAAATACAGTGAATTAATGATAACTTGAAGTTGAAGGGAGATAAAAAATCGCTTCGAAATAACTAGGTAATTAAAATAATAAAATTTAACATAACCTAGTCCCCTAACTTTAAGGGGAGTAAAATTAAAAGAGCATGTAAGTGGATGACGCTCTGCTGTACAGTAGGTTACAAGTGGGTAACTGTAATGGATGAGGTGTTAAATTGGAATTCAATGATATAATATTAGTGGTCTCGTTTGAAAAGGTGAAGTAATATGTATACGTGTACACGTGAATGAAAAATTTACAATCACGTATATTTAATACACGTGAATTTACTGTCCGTGTTCACGTGAATTAGTGTAATTCACGTATTCACAAATACACCGTACGGCCGTACGGATATACAGTGTGTTCAATAGGTACAAGTGGACTGTACACTTTAAGTTTATTCAGAAAACTGTATATAATTTACAAGAAAGGCGGTAGTACCTACAGTTGTGTTAAATCGACAAGAGAGACTGAAATATCGATATTAAAGCGGCTAGCTGCCCATAAATGTTATTGCATATCGCACCAAACTTTGATGATTAGTGCCCATCACAATAAGAACATAAAATACGTTTATCTACCTAACACAGTGACTGGCCTTAGCGTACAGCGATTGTCGATTGAATTAACTGATTATTATTTACTTTTGTTATAAGTTGCAGGGTATCCTACTATCTATACTTACTAATATTAATCGTATACCGGTTTAACACTTATAGTACGCCGTAAATTTTATCAATAATTGAAACATTCGATTAGCAATAGTAATTTTA